GGTTCCACGAATCGATGCTAGTGGAAAAGCCTTGGAACCGTGCCGAACCGAGCCGAACCGAGCTGTACAGGGGCCCAAAAGGCCCAAAAGAGCGATTTAGCTTTAAGAAAGTTCTAGGTCAGGGGTCTGCAACGATGAAAAGAGACATTTTTGCCACTTTTCGACGTCCGGAGCCACAAAACCTGCTACAACTGGGTTCTGTCCACTGGTGGCCCGTGGACCAGTATGTTGGAGATGGCTTTTCCTGCCAGTGGGGGTGAGACTATAAAACAACAAATGTCTCACTATTATTAACATTTGTTGATATTTTTACATTTTATTACAAAAGAAAAGACCAGATTAATGTAAAAAAAAAAAAAGGATCAAATATATAATTTTTAATAGTTTTATAAAAATTAAAACACTGAACTCTGCAGGCCTGTGTGAGTTCTGTTGATGGTTGAAGAATTAAGTTTCCTTAAAGCATAAAGTTAAAAACACTTTTAAATTAGGCCAAATTACATTTTTAAAGAAAAACTAGAAAAATTGCATTTCTTGTAAACATGCAGTGTGAATGCTTATTGCAGAGGAATTTGCTGGAAAAACAGCTGAAATAGTTAAAAACATGCTAAAAAGCTAGAGCAAGCTTAAATTAGCAGAGGAAACAGAAAGAACACATTTTGCTCAGTTCGGCTGAAAGAAACAGACATGAGCTCAAAAAGTGGAAATTATCTGAAAAAGCTGAAATTAAAAAACAGCTGAAAAGTAGCTTAAAAAGCTGAAAGAAGCTTAAATTAGCAGAAGGAAGTGGAGAAAGCAATTTATTTTGCTGAATTATGCTGAAAAAAGTTTAGACGAGTGCAAAAGTGTGGAATTAGTTGAAAAAAAGGCTAAAATTAACATAAATACAGCTAAATAGTAGCTGAAATAGCAGAAAAATGTGAATTTTGCAGAAATTGCTGCTGCTGATGTCACAGACAGCTGGGTCAGAGGTGAGGAGTGATGATGTCACAAGCGCAGCTTTCTGATGATGTCAGGTGTCTTATCATGTGTGTTGTTCATTATCTTTTTTAACCAGATGAAAACAATTGGATCAAGATCTATTTAACCAAAGTGACCTGGCCAAAGTCAAATAAATGATCAGCTGTTCCTTCACTAATGTCTGCAGTCAGACAGCTTAGAGGCGGAGCTACTGTATTTATCAGTCCAGTAGATGGCGTCATGGGGCTGCACGCCACTTCAGTCTTTTAGAGCGTTTAGAGTTTAGAAACATTGCACCGTGCTGCGCATGTATATATATATATATATATATATAAATATATACTTATTACTTGTACTACTATTCCTACTTGGTGATTTTTCATTGATCGTGGGGCTTCGGGGTACGGCTCCCCCGCGATAAACGAGGGACTACTGCAACTATTTAGAATCATCTACCCTGTTTGTTAAGAAAACATGAACCACTGGCAGAACTTTAAAGAAGCTTGCAGAAGATAATCAGTGAATGTGCAGCTACTACTCGTTCAGTTTTGAAAACAATCCAATTTTAAATGGCTGACAGACAATTAAAATGAGCCAAAACAAAAGGACTATAATTCAGTCAGTTATACAGTTACTAAGCCAAAATTTAACAGGGTTGTTACTTGGAGTTATAATTACATCTTGCGATATTGCATAAGACTATAGAAACTTCATTTACAAGCTTTGATCAAAACAACAAAGAAGAAGATTTTGATTGTTTTACAAAACTTTATTTACACAATAAGTTAACATCAGGACAAGGTTCAGATAAAATAGTTACACGAGGAGCTTGTTGCATTGTAGTTGTCCCTGATCAGAAATGGTGCATACAACCTTAAATCCCCAGTTTCACAAAGTTCCCCAGTGTCTCTGTGGAAGCAAAACTCCAGCACCAGTCTGGGCTTGACGCTGCACCTCCACAGAGCCACGGCATCAAGCTGAGGTCCAGCTGCATTCTGTCCCTGCGAGACAATTAAACAGACATCTTTGCTTCGGCAACTAAAAAGTTTAAAGTTTGGGATTTAAACTTGGTGGCGTTGCTGTGATGTGCTCCATTAATAAAAACAGATTTGGTGAAAACTGTGTCAGAAAGGCTAAAGATCCTCGTCCATAGATTAAACAGAGCCGTCAGCCGTGCGCGGTTTGTAAAAACATGAAAAACACTCAGACAAACTGCAGAAAGGTCACTTGTTTAAAACATCAGGACTGATGACCGACAAAAAAGAATGTGTTGCAATGGCGCCATGAAGGATCCTCCATTGAAGAACGCCGGTCCGTTTTGTTTTGTAAAGAGTTCCTCCACTGGGGCTTCTGACCTCCAAGCTTGTTGTCCCACACGCTGACAGCTCTGTTGTACAGAGTTCTCTTGTCCAGGATCAAGAAGAAGGAAGATCTTTAACTCAATCATTTTTCATTTACGTAACTTGATCTTAGTATAGATCCCAGGCGTGAACAGTAACGGGGAATATTCATTCTAGGCCTTTCATGTCTTAAGGTTTTGCTCTGACTGTAACACTTTCAAGTTTTGGACTTGTTTGTTGATTGAACTGAATTATGTTTGACAGTAATTAGGATTAGAGTGAGAGTTTTGTTAAGGATCATGTGGTTGGTGTTGAGGATCTGTGTTACCAAGGAAAGGCATGTGTTGACATGCTGCTGTGAAAATACCTTTGAGCTCATGTTAACTCCTATGGTTAGGCCTAACGGTGCTCTTTGAGTTTTGCTGTTTGGGTTTTTTCAGGGTAGCTCTGTCCCAATGGTTGGAACAATCAACCACCAAGAAAAGTGAGTTCATGATCCTCTACATAGTCGATTAGTTCAAAGACTCTTACAAGGCTTTATTTCTCGTTCAGGTCTGAGATGACACTGGTGGATTCCGGTTCCGTGCTCAGGTCAGAATGTCCATTAAGAGAGAAGGCAG